CCGTAAACTTTCAGTTCTGATCTGATATGTGCTTTTTCCTAGCCAATGTGCTCAGGTGAGCGTTGTAGCCCCTGGGCCTCTTGTAAAACTAGCACCAGTCTTTTTTTCATGTATTAAACTTTGTTTAAATTTCGAAATGTTCCAAGTCTGTGAAGGAACTCAGAGTTGTCCCTCTTGAAATACATTCAACTACTCAAAAAATGACTGATCATTAGTTTGACTCTTTTACAGAAAATTGCTGAGGTACAAGTATCAGGAGATTCTGTCTCTTTTTCCAGATTTTCCCTTATCTATTTATTTATTCACAAAAATTCTTTTAGTATAAAAAATTGTGTCTCTATATTAATAATTATTCAAAATATTCTGCAAATTAATCTAGGTAGAAACCATACTATTGTAAATCATTTTGTAACATCTATAAAGCTGTTATAATATCCATTTTCTATCTATCTCACCATATTATATATATTCATACAAATTGATTATGTATTCAAGCACTATTGTATCTGATTTTCCAGATACCTTTGTAGCAGTAAAATGTATTTCCTGTTTATTTTGTACTTTTGAGGGGAAAGAAAGATAATTATGCCCCCTTCCCCTTTCCTAGTTGGACCAAAGTATGACAAAGTGGTTATAATCCAATTACAAAAAAGTGTGACTGTTTGTAGTATATGAAAATTTTTCATCAATTTTGTTGTAATTTTAGACTAGACATTTACAAATATCAAGTACATGTTTGTAAGCAGTAAGTGGTGCTTGCAGCACTGGAATTACTGGTAATTTTTGAACTAGCTGAGCAGAAAAACTAATATGATGCAACAGTTGCTCATTACATGTATTTGGCTTGGATTCTTTGTCATTTTAACCCGAGGGCAGGCCTGCTCTAAGCCCAAACTTTGCTAAAAATAATCTCAAGTTTGTTTAAAAATGTTTTCAAACGTAAAATTACCGATCTTTTTGTAGGGTAGTTCTGCCCTAATGAAAAGATATCTTGACCAAATTATCACTAAAAATGTGTTCTAATTGAACAAAAACTGGTGTCCTGCAATATTAAGAAGACATTTCTATGAAAATAAACCTTCAAAAAATGGACACAGACATTTACAACAAGTTTTCTCTTGACCAAATAGCTAATTTTTCCCCAAAAGAAATCATTATTGTGAGCTTATCAGTTTGAGGTGTACCTTAATTCCTTTGACCCTAGGCTGTTCATATTTTCAAACTATCCACTAGATAAACTTTCATGCCAAATCAGGAAATTTGGCACCTAATTACCTTAAATGGACTCTATTTTATTGAAGTTTTCCTTCCTTAAACGGTTTGACATGTGAAAGGCCTCAAATGCCAAATGGCTACCTGGGTGCTAGCTTGCTTGGCTGAGAAACGATATAATAACATCTAAATTAATCAAGAAAATCTCATTGAATTAAACCACACATATTTAGACATCAAGTATAATATGCATTTTGCAAAGTATTAAGCTAAAGGATATGTTCAATTTCAAGATATATTAAGTGTAATGTAATGACTTGTTGAAATATTAATTTTCATGCTTTCCAAGTTTTTATCTTTTCTATTGCAGCATGATCTCTGCTGTTCGTAACAAGCATTTAGAAATTGAGACGAATCGTCCCGAGCCAACTCCATCCCCCATCTCCCGCTGCGACTCCCCCGCTAAATCCGTCAAAAGTATACACTGGATGCTGGGAAGCAACAAGCACCCAACATTTGACGTAAAGGTAAATTGTCATCATTTAAACAGTTTTTTCAAGCTAATTCAATCAACCTCTTTATAATTAGAAACATTTTTTTCAACATTAAGGAAATTATGACATATTAAGGTTTTTAGAATTAAGTTTTCTGTTTCATTGTCAACATTGCATATGGCACGTACCTGGGAAAAAAATTCAAAGGTGAAATATTGTTAACAAAAATCACTGTCATCTATCTGGTCAAAATTTAATGTTACAAGTGCTTGAATTGACTTACAACTTTTAAAATACAATTAATATCTTATATGGTTTCATTATAGATCTAAGGGCAGATCACTCCCATTGCATAGAAATAACATGGAATAAGAATTCTTTAGTAGTGTTCATTTAAAGAGAGTTCTGTAGTCTCAAATATGAATGATATAAATTTAGCTATACTTATTCTTATTTCTACACATTTTAGGGTAGAGGAAGAAACCAGGGGCCATACTCCAGAGAGTTCACAGTTCATTGCACCGCCCCAACTAACTGGATGAGGATGAAGTGGGGGCGGGCTAATACAGTGTATCATTGATGATGTTTTTTCCTACTGTAAACCAATTATTATACGCGTCATTTTTTATTCGCGACTGACCACTATAGAACTAATCCGCGACGATTTATTTCCGCGAACAAGTGGTCACATTTTTTATTTTAACAAGTATCTTTTGTTTCAAATTAAAATTTTATATCCGCCCATAAACTACGTAAAATCCTAACATGAGTACTGTTTACACATTATTCAAGACATTTTGTGCGTTGCGTCCATTAAAAATCACATATCCGCCTATAAAGTTGGTAAAATGTTACCATGAGTATATTTCTTACGCATTATTCACGACGCTCGAATGAAAATCGGGGAAAAATCTAGGAGACAAAAGTTGATTTAAAACACTCAATTGTAAAAGTGCCTCATACTAATTAGGTAATTGATGCTTTCTTAGATCTACATAGCCAAAGGACAATTATTGTAAATGATTTGGACAGAGCAGGACTGGGTCATAATTAGACGTAATTAACCAGGCTATCTCTAACTCGACTGTGACGCTAAATGAACGATAATAACACAAGCTGAAATAATTAATGACATTTAAATAATTTTCAGACAAATAGTTTTAGATTTGCCATTCGTTTTTATATTTTTCTGAATGTTTGTAATTAAGTTTCAACTGTTTCTAGTACACTAAAGTTCTTCATGATTACTTATTGAACCGTCGGGATCGGTATTCAAAAAAGGGCAAATAACTCTAATCATACCACATGGGAATATGATTATTGAACAACTGTTATCAGATAAATATTGACATAGGTTGCTCGCGGAACTCGCGGATATTTATCGCACGCGTATAATACTTGGTTTACAGTATTTTCATCACATCTGTACAGCTGCCACAAACATATTTGAATCTGTGACCTTGCATATGTAAACAAAAGTGCCTCCCTGAGAAACGCCCAGGAATCTCTGACAATTTTTATGGTCTTTCAATAGTTTTATTGCATCGATTCTTGAAGATATATAAGAATTGTGTTTTGATTAGGGTTGGATACTATTAAGGATGATACAGTGTGATACGTCCATACCAGTAATGGTTATATGATGTGGACATGTAATCCTTTTTAATAATAATTCACTCGATCAATGTATACTTTAAACGTGTAATATTTAGTATGTACTACAATATTTGGCAGAAATTGATTTTTGAACAAGTTAGCTGAGGTTTTATTTACTTTTGTTTCTATCAAAGACAGTCATGATTTTAAGGCTGTACATAATGAGAGATCATTCTGTTGATGTAGCATCAGCAGCTATCAATATATTATATTGTAGCTGATATGTTATCATTAAGTGTAACATGTGTTATCAGTAAATTTGACATAGGTCATACATGTATTACATGTTAACTTTCTTTTTGATTTTTTTTTTACATTGTTAAAACTGTGATATTGTATTATAAACATGTATATACTGTAGTGTAATTTATTATTTCTTTAAAAACTTATTGTTTTCTTACTTGAAACTGTGTAAAATATGCCATTAAAATGGCCGGAGATGAGATTTTTAGCAGTAGTAGTAGTAAGTAGAAATAAATATTGTTCTCAGAACCTGTATTAAGGTGTCTGTTTAGATCTGTTGTCTGTGACAGTGTTGTGAATGTATCTGAAAGTATATGGATGGTCAGCTGTTCGTAGCCACTATGTTGTTTGTGTTGTGTATACTGCTATTAAACTGAGGTTTACAGGACATCAATAGGTCAACTAGCTACTTTGTTGTTAACCAGACACCTGAATTTGTTTTTATATTTTAAATTTAATAGGGTTTAATTTTGCATGTATGATTTTTTTATTGATAACTTTAAACATGGGAAAATCATATATGTCATAGTTCTGATGGTTTAATTAAGATATCTTACAAATTTAGAAAAATTTGAACAAGTGAAGTTTGGCCATGAATGCCGAAATAAGTTTTAGTTTAGAATTATAAAGATGTATATATTGTACCTTTGTACAAGAGCTTTCCATATATCTGTGATAGTGTTAAGGTAAGTCACTCCTGAAATTTGTTATATCAAGGATTTTTTGAGAAGTATATTTTGGATAAGTACTCATAAAGTGTAACTCAAAATCGCAAAGAAAACATGGGGTCAGTGTGCATCCTACTGATATACGGTACATTTAAGTTGACCTTTTTGCACTTAAATTTAATCTCTTTGGTTAATTACTTTAACCCTTATTATATTTGATCAAATGTAAGCATGGCAATAAATATAATCTTATTTTACGTAAAATAGTTTGAATAATATTTATCATTAAACAAATCTTGCAAATTAATGCGCGTAAATTATTGTGTGACCTTTTTGCACTAAAATATAACATTTTGGGGGTATTAAAAAACTTAATAGGCAATAAAAAATTTTCTTATATCAAACTTTTTACGACTTTAGTGCTGATCAGTCACAAGAATCTAGTAGTTTAAAATAATGAAAGAAAAAGGTGGGGTCAGTGATGTTAATTTTGAAATATTTGTCAAAATATGTGATTTTCAGGCAAAAAATATTTTAAATTTGATCTTGACTTCTTTAATATATTTTGATTTCTTTGAAAAGTTTGTTGAGGGAAGGTGTAAAACTTAGTCTAAAAATATAAATTAAGACTTATATTAAATATTTTTCGCAATATCAAAACGGAAAATATTCTCCGAGTAAAAGTATGTGAGGCTAAATTTCAATTACATTAAATTTTATAAATGTGCAGATTTGCAGAATTTTCTGCTAAATATCCTTCCACCAAAAGAAATAGTCCCTCATAAATCTTGCTTCTTTGTAGATTTTTGAGCAGTTTTTTCATTGAATGTTAAAAAAATTACATAATTGAATTTAAATATGTTATAAAAATTGAATTTTAATAAGTAGTTTTGAAGTAAAAGCTTCTGCGGGAACTTTTCTAAGAAGCTGACGAGTGACTTACCTTAAACAAGTGTGTGTGCAGGAATTTATAGAATTTATTTATCAGTATAAAATTTCATGTTTTTTTTTTATTTTATATTTTATTTATTTATTGTTTTGTGATAATGGAGAATATTATGATTCTTATTTTTTCCACAAACCAGTATCTTATGCAATGCATTGCAGCAGTCTAAAGATATGTATACATACAAAGTAAATTTTTCCTTTAACCATATTTTTAATAAAGTGGACGTAGATTATATATTGAGTACTGCTGGGCAAAGTCCTCTTTTAACCTTTATATATGGATTTTTTTGTTTGAATTTATATGTGATGTAAGATCTAATATGACAGAAAAATTTAGTGAAAGTAGGATAAAAGACTTGTCTTCCTTTGTCTGAAATTCAAACAGGGGAAAAATTTAGATTTTTGTGACAATCTGAGAAAATGATGTTTCCATGCTTATAAACCAGCCAATCTGCATTGTAGTCATGACAACTGAGAGTTTTTACCTCCTAACATATCAAATTATGTGCTTTTGTATTTAATGGTATGATGCTTGATAATTGCATTTTTCTCTGGGTATTCGATTTCAATATGGTAGATAAACATGTTTTCTACCTGTTCAATCAATATGTAATTTACCATTATTTAATATTGAACAGGTCAGCAGATTTTTTTTTATGGTGGGTGACAGCTAGTAGAGAGATAAAGTTGCTGTCATGCAGGAGTATATTTTTTTCTTTTGTTCTCATTACTATATGTGTGGCTGAAGGTATATTAATTTTTGCGGTCAATATTATCAATTTATGTTTAAACACTGTCAGTTTTTTTGTTCTCTTTCGTTTGGATTGGCAGTATAGATATTGATATTGTTTCTGGAAAATATGAGAAAAACAACTTAATTTCTAACATCAGAATCCCCTACAAAAATAAGTAAAGCAATATGAAAAAAAAATTCTTGTTATTGAAATGTTGAACTTTGCTGAATCTGATGAATTACGTATTCTGCTAATTTCTAAATACTCAAGTAAAATGTGCAGAGAAGTTCCAATTAGCTAGCTTGGTGATGCATAAGATGGGTATGTTTGTTTTCGGTTTTAATACAAAAGTGATGCATCTTTAAAATAATGTAAAGTTTTGTGATGATTCATGATATGTATGTAATAAAACTATTTTGATAATCTGTGACGTAAAGACAATAAAAAATTTTAATTTAAATTTTGACACAACCATGATTTTGAAGGAATGGTCATGATAATTGAGACACATATTTGGATATGTAATTGTATCATATGACAGCTATTTTTGTAATAACTTCTAACAGATTTAATTTATTTCTAATTCTTTCTCCACATCTTGTGGTGTGAATTACGTGTTAATACACAACTCAGTTACAATTTTCATATAAAGATTATGTGGAATACATCATATCTGAGATTGGTTAATAAAAATGAATGTAATGAAAAAAAAAAACATGTCTCTGTATTTTCCATATTATCACTCTGATTTGTTGAATTATTCAATTCATTGATTACATTTCTTTTCAGGTAGTTAATGAATCTTGCATTTAATTGCTGGATTTTTTTTCTAGCCACTGTTTCTTTTCTCTAGATCAGATGTTTAATTTAGCTCACCTGAGCCAAATTTTCTGTTGATGGTGTAATCCATTTACGATGTCTTTGACTTCTCCAGAACCACAGAGCCAATTTCAAGCAAAACTTGGCACAGAATTTTCTTGGGTGATGGGGAAATAAAGGATAATTTCCCCTTCTTAATTGAAACAATGTAGAAAAGACAAAAAAGTAAGGAGGGGTCATATGAGATTTTTTTTTGGAAGAACTACTAGGCCAAAACTAGAAAGACTAATGTACAAGCATTGTGACATAATGTATGTGTTGGTTCAACAAACTTTAATCTACACTATGTCAGAAGGTTTCACGCAAATATTTTACATTTCTGGCCTAGTGATTCTTGGGGGGAATATTTTAAGGCTAATGGCTTACTTAGTTGACCTACAAGTGTTGCTGTCTATTTTTATCTGCTTCATGTGACATTTAAATACGTTAAGGTTCTTCTCTTGAAATTCAGAGCCAGTTTCAGCTAATTTGGTAATGGTGAGACTGCTTCTTCCAAAAATGTGTAATTCCTTGTCTTGATACAAACTTATTGTGCTTATGTCATGCATACGGGACAGCAGACCTCCGTTTTGTTGTCCACAAGACATGTCAAAACTGACCAAAGACCCCAAAACTACATGTGTGACGTCTTCAGATTAAACAAAAATCAAAGGGATGTGACTTTTGTTTCCTTATATCAATTATCATCAAGGGACATAATGCGTCCATTTCACAGTTTTTTTTTTTTTTTTTAAATAATTTAATTCTTTTGATTTAATTTCTCTCTCACATGGCTGAATATAATAGGCAGTAATATTAAAACATACGGTACTATGTTGGGTGAATTTTGATATACACTAGTATAAACTTTAGAAATACCCAATTATTATAGTAAATTTTTAAGAAACTGCACTATGATGGTGTTTCAAAACAAAATTATTTGTACCAAACAAAATTAAAAAGGCGGATGGGTACACACCCTTTTATAAACACATAGTCTTCCCATATGAGCCCTGATCATGTTTATGTTCATAAGGAAAAAGTGGGTGTGTCGTATTTAGAAAAACGAAAATGGATTATTTCGTTAACCGAAATAGCTTACCCACGCTGGTGTGGGAGTCAAGTATGTACAGATATCAAAAGAAAAATTTAAAAGATATGACAAGCTTGATTGATCGGTTACACCTTTATCAAAACCATTCACTGCATTTCCAACAGCGATTTATCAATGATAAAGTATTTATACCTATTGCTCATCCATTAAAATACATATCTATGCATTTATATTTTCTAGTAAATATTAAAGAATGCTACAAAAATTAAGCGGTGTTGGTGGGGGATATTTGATGTGTCATGCATGGAATCGTTAACAATTTACATAACTTACAAAAATCAAGAATTATTATTAAGGATACATAACATAAACAATTAAAAAAAATGATGCATGGATTGGTCTGTTATTTTTGACTGATTTTGAATAGAAGGAAAGAATAAATCCCGAAAATATAATGAAATCGTAAATGTTCTTTGGTGTGTGACTGTCGTTTTCTTTGTAATTTATTCAAAAGTTTGCATCCATTCTAAACATAAAGCACTAATTTCTCCCATTTTGCCTGCCAAATAATATTTAGATAACCTTCTTGAATATAAATCTATGGGATTTATTGCTGATTTCTAATGTAGACAGTAATGTAGTCATTCACCGGATCTTTATTACTAAATATTCGATAGATGTTCGAATATGCTTTTAATTCAGTTCAAGAAATAATCTCAGAATGTTGATGTATTCTGTTATGTAATGCACAGATACTTGTAAAAAAAAAACAAACAAACAAACAAAACAAACCCGTACCAAATAAATTCATGATCCCTGTGTTGGTATAAAGTAGTTATAGTGTACATGTATCTCGTACAAATGTAATGCAAAAGAAAGAAATAAAAAAAAACACGAAGAATATATCCATAAAACATGAATACCCCGTCCAATGTTCATAGTAAGGCAAAATGAGAAACTGTATTACGGCAGTGTATTAAGTTTGATGAAAATACCAGGAATTGTTTCTTTGTAACCGAGCTTAATACACAATAAATAGTAAAGTCAAACGTCATTGAAAAGGTCAAAGTGAAAAAGGACACTGTTGATAGCTTTGCACCAAATAATGTATATCAGTACATAAGCTAACATGGAAAGTACAGAGTACATATCTGGAAAATTTCTTTAAAAACTGAGCTACTTGTAAATGCAATTTTAAGACAAGGTCAAAAGAAGAGGTCAAGGAAAAAAAAAGTTCTACCGAATATGGAATATGTATCAATATATGAAGTTTGATAAAATATCTTGATTTGTTTCTTTGAAACTAAGCTTGACCCAATTTAAGAAAAGTGAGGTCAACTGAAGCTAAATGGAAAGGTCATTTCTCTCATTAATACGTATAAGCATATACATGTAACAATTGATCAAACTATTTTAAATGCTTTTTAAATGAGGCAAAATTTATGCCCAATGTCAAAAATGTTAATTAAGCATATCAAGTTTAATGAAATATCTCGCATACTTTATTTGGACTTTAACCAACAGAAATTTTAATCAAGGTGAAAGGAAAGGTCAAGGTCAAACTGTTCATACAGTTGAATAGTTATCACCAATATGCATCTGTGTATTGGATTTGATAAAATATATATCTTGAATGTTTTCGTTGAAACTGAACTGAGTTCTAAGTTTAGTAATCGTTAACTATATTTTCAGTAAAAAAAGTTTCACAAATCGTGAAACTATGTTTATCAGATCGTTAACTATAGTTAACGGTTTGTAAACTATAGTTTACAAATCGTGAAACTTAACAGATAATCATACGGTTGTGAAACATAGATTGTCGCGTTAACTATGGTTTACGGATGTAAAATAAAAAGTAAGGAAGGTAAAGGTAAAAAATGGCGATGCAGTTGAAACCTCTGACCAGTACGTGTAAGCATTAAGATTAGAACAAATATCTTAAGTTTCTTTGAAATTGAGGTATTCACTAATCCAAGATAATGAGGTCAATGTCAAAGGAAAAGTTAAGGTTAAAAAATGCTGATACATTTGAATAGTTCTCATTTGTATGCATGTTCATTCGAAGCTTGATAAAAATATCTTCAATAGTTTCTTTGAAACTTATTTACACACAAATTAAAGAAAAATGAAGTCAAGGTCAAGGTCAGGTTAAATATGTTGATGAAGCTCAGTAGTTCTTATCAGATTGTATCAGCGTATGGAGAATGATAAAAGATATCTTGATAACCTTCTTTTAAACCAGGGTACATGTACAGCAATTTGAAGTGTGACGGAAGGACGAAAGACGGACATGACAAACAATATATGCCAAAGCAATATATTTATGGCGGGGCATATTTTATCTAAACTTTCCATCTTCTTTAGTCTAATGTTCCATTTAATACAAAGAGGAAAAAGCTGTAACAGATATATATAAGCCAATCTCGTTCAAAATTCCGTTTAATCTCAAAATTCGCTCAGCTTACAGTGTCCATTTTCCAGAACCTTTATATATTTCTAGTTCTCGACTGATTTATTTTTAAAAAGAATTAAAACATCTACCTTTTGATATACATGTACATTCATGTAAATATGATCCCCCTATCACGTTCAAAACAGCAATCGGATTCTGATGTTGCTCGTGGACCATAGTGATTTGGTCGCCCTCTTATTGTAACAGATATTTTGTGTGTACACTTCACACATCTGAAGTCACTGTAAGCTACTTGGTGACATTTACGTGACTTCTTTAATCTGACAATGGTGAGGTTCTAACACCTAGCTTAAAATGAGCTTAGAATGGTATCCGCTATTTTGCCACTTCTGGAAGCTCGCACGATAATTAAGCTTTACAGGGAAAGGTGGACAAATCAGGGCTGGACTGACATCATTTGACGAGAATCACACCTTATATAACACGAAACTATGTTTTGTCAGAATGTTATCTCTATATATAGGGGAACAATTTAACAAAATAAATCGTGTTTGAAGTGATTTACTTGTTTTATCGAAAAAGTAAAATACTCTCTTCTAAAACAAAATTAAAAGATAATTATTAGTAATTGAATTTCTTTTCCTTGTTTTGTTTAACGATCCTTTTGGGAAATTTTTTACCCATATGGAAAGGTCACTTCTTGCTGGTGGAGAGCTGCAAATTTAGAACTAACAGTCTTACTCGGCCCTTAGGGCCGTTGAGCATTGAGTGACCTGGGGCCTCGTCGCTATATGGTGACCTTTTTATCTATTATGAAAATTTTTTTCGAATGGGACGCAAAACAACTTGCAATCAGTAAATCATATTCGCGATAATGACTAGTCACACCACGTCATTCATATACATGTTATGCTCAACTTTGAATGACTCAATGGCTTTCAAAAAAAGTTCATTCAAATGAGACAATCACTCATTCCAAAAAATGATGCGGGGGTGTGGGGATCTACAGTTGTAACATTGAGTTTACCAGCTTGAAATCATCGGGTTTTATCTAACCAAATTATGTACATTTTCTAGTATACAACTGTATGTGCAAGGTCCCTTTGTGGAATAGTCTTTGACAGAGGAACAACCTAAATTCAAATCATTGTAGCAAGATGTGAAGACAACAAGGTGACTTTCGGGCCTTCTATGAGAAAATGGGGAGAAAACAGACCCATCTCGGTAGTTCACGATAAAGAGATGAGAAATTTGAGATCTCTTTATTAGTTCGCCCACGTCTTTCAAAGCAAATTTAATACGTATATCTGGGTCTTTGGTTAAGGTCGTTGACAGACAAGCTTATGAATTTCTGAATATTTACGCGGCTTAATCTATTTTCACTATACGAAATTAACTTTCCTAAAGTGTTTTGAATCCACTAAAAAAATCTTCTATTTCATTGGAAGAGTTGCAAAAGCTCTCGTGAAATTATTTTTACCTTTTAAAAGCTACTGCTCCAATGAAGTAATGTGAAGAATTGTAATTGAAACCAAGAAGTTATGCAACCAATCTACCTACAGTTTATTTGAAAAGTTAGCTTGGGTCATTTTTACAAGGATTTTAATTGAAATAGATAAATGTTGTTTGTTCATCAACTGTTGCTAGGGTCTTCCTCGTTTTCCATCTCCGAGAAAGTATTATATAATATACTGTTGTCGCATCATTATTACTCTCAAAGAACCATATCAACTTCCATGTATTGTCCTTGTAGTGAGTTGTAAAGTATGTTTTAATGATAGGAAATCCGATGTCAAAGAGCTGCCAGGTACAAAAAATATAAACCATACACTGCATACAGGTGAGGTATATAGATCTATAACTTTAAAAAATATATACATCTGTATATAATTCAAAGCTATTAATTTAATATCCATTTCCATCTCTTTTTCAAATTCCTCCAGATAAAATACGAACAACACCGAAGCTTTGTAAATATATATAATTTGATGTCTGTGGTTATGTACAACATTTGTATACAATATGTAGAGATACATGTACAAAACACACTATTCTTTTTTCAAAATCATGTATATGAAATAAACGTATTAATGTAGAATACATTCTAAATATCCTCCAAGTGTCCTAATTTCCTTGATAACCAGTCCTTTGGATTAATTAACTGCATGCTAACATCCACTTCCAAACATTTTTCATGGTGTACAATAAATTGCATATTGAAATAGTCACAGCAAAAAATATAACATACATGCACTGGTAATCTTAAAATTGATTATAATAGACATCTACCTCACAAAAAGTTGCCCCCCAAAATCAAATTGAAATGAAAAAGCCCTAAAAATACTAAATTTTGTTCATAATAAAATATTGCACTGTAATAACAAAGCACTGGCTGTTATGAGAAAAAAATCAGTTTTTTGGGAAGTTATGTTTTTGTTCATAAGAAAATAAAAAAAAATCCTAGAATTGTGTACATTGAACTGAACAAAAATGAAAAGCAAGAGTAAAACATTTTCCTGAAATTATTAGCTAAACAAATCTCAGACTGAATTTAATGTTGAATGATTTCTACATATAACCTTAATTTACGCAATTCCAACTATTTTCCCACTGTAACTTTGATCTGCATAATTTACATTAAAAAAAAAAGATTGCACTACACCCACCAAAGCCTGAAAGTTTGAACTTAAAGTACTAAATTATAATAATCAAAGAAAAAATTCTAATTTTTTTTAGTTTGCATATCAGTCTTAAAAATCTTCATTTTAAAATTGATCTCAAAAAGAAATTTTTGAGAACTGACACCAATTAATGATCAATATAACCTAAATATTGTTTCAATTTCAAAGAAAACAAATGTACATATCTGATATGGAAAAAAAAGCATCTAGAAATATGGGACTTACAATTCCCATTTATCAATACTAAAGGGCAGTACATCTTATTTTCCATGATTAGAAGGCAATTAAAAGAGTCATTTCCAATGGCGAAATGAATACCTGTGGCATAAAAAATTGGAAATGACAATTTCACTGACAAGTATTTGCCTTTTTACCATAAACCAAAGAATACCAGTTTTCTTGCTATTATTAAGGTGAACAAAACACAACGATTCAAATAAAAGATAAACTGTACCGCAAGTTGCCAATTAAAGACAGCATTTGGGTCATGGAGAAAAAAAACCAACAAAATGTTACATAGTATTAGTTCAAGGAACTTTACTGCATAAATATCAGATCTATATTGGAGATTCATTCTCTTTCTTTCTCTCTCTCTCATAGACATTTGGAGGACAAGCACATAGATTTTTAGCATTGCCTTGACTATATTGACCCCATCAACCAACCAACTCCAAAATATAGATTGGGGCAAGGGGGTTCTTGATACATATGCCATTTAGGCATTTACATTCCTAAATGGATCATTTAATAAATCAAAGAATACATTTTAGTACTGCCTGGCAATTATATGTATCTGAAACGTTATTTTTAAAATGGTTTGAAAATTTATTGGAGCATAGCTTTTTCTGATCAGATTAAGGATGTGTAGGACAGACATGCAAATTGTGGTAAAGTTTTTTCCTTGGTACATGCAACATAAATAAATTCCAAACAGGTCACCAAGAACTTAAATAATCAAGCATGGTACTCAAAAAATTACTTTTCCAAAGAAAAGAGCTACATGTTCAGATCACAATAGTAGAAGAAAAAGAGTCTCATTATCAATTAGCATACAATTAGAATTGTGTTGGAAGTGAAACACCACTGATAAATTTTATATCCAGATACACAAAATAGCAAAACAATACAGAGATAGATAGTCTCAATATGGTTTGTTTTTGTGTTTGCATGCATTTCGTCCTTACAGCATGTTTTTTTTAACATATCACCAACATTTAAGGCAAGGTGTGTACATATATAATATACATCAAATATATATATACAATGGAAAAAAAAATATCACAGAAAAAATGCCAGCTTAACAACAGGCAAAACAACAAATTAACAAGATCAATTTGACAAGCTGATTTGTATAATCCTATACGTGCCCTTGGTGCATGACCTTTTTTTTCAGCACACACACAAAAACAGATTTTTTAAATAAATCATGATAAATTTGATAAGATGAAAAAAATGAAAACATGTTTGAATGCAAGAATAAACCAATATATAAAAAAAGAACTTTAGAAGCACTGAAGTAGAATTTGCATTAAAATTTCAAAATCAAGAGAAATGATAAGCACAAATGAGCTAGGAATACACACAAACACAAAATAATAGACTAGGTCTAAAACCTCTGTGAGACTTTTCATTTGGTGAAAAAAATAATGATTTTATATATATATTAGTAAAAATCTTTTTACCCCAGTCATGTTAACACAGAAAAGCAATTGATATAACTATATTATATGAAAACCTAATAAATATGATTACCTTAAAAAATATATGAAGGTAAATAAAGAATACTTTTATAATAAAACTATATAGTGCTTAAATGAATAGCATGAATTTATGATTCCTTCGTGTATTTTTCTACAGCCATTGCTACCAAAACCACTACCTAGGGTGAAAAAACCATCCAAGAGTGTTCCACAGCAAATGGATCAACTTACTGACCTTTGGGGAGGGGATCTAAATGAATATGAAGAATGAAAAGAGGTCATGACCTGAGCGAACTGCGTAGGCAGGGTCACGACCAGGGACTTAGATTGGGACTTTCATGAAAGAAGACAAAGAAAGGCCAAGCAAATGAAAAGTTGTTCCTGATTCAAATTATTCTAAACTTAAGATGTTGGGGGGTTTAAGATGGGTAAAGAGAGGTTTTCATAAAACTGGAAGAATATAAATACTTGGGTTGGCAATGCAAGAGGCTTGATTAACAAATTCATTAAGATTTTGAACACATATAAACTTTACAAAGGAGTGAAAAACATCTCTATTTGCTTGGCCTAATAATTAATGCAATGTTATTTCCAAAACTTTCACATAATGCAGATTTTTGGTATTATGTAACATTTTTCATTGTGTCATGTAATTTATCAAGAACACCTGTTTCATATGTGACAACATTAAAAGACAGAGTTTACCTGCACTGTGCCACTTATGAATTCTAATTCAGCTGAAGAATTTAAGTACTAATTTATTTCAACGACTTAAATAAAAAAAACAGATCTCTTTCAAAACATCATTTTTCAAAATTAAAGATTCAAATTTGTTCACAAGAAGCACTTTGGGGCCATAAAAATTACGTTTTAGACAATTTGAAAAAAAAATTACATGTCAAACTGTATTCAACAATTAAGCACTTGTGCATTAGGCAATACCCTGAAAATAATTTGCAACAAACAATGGACATACATACACTTGAAAAAAGGATAGGTTTTCAAACATATGAATGATAACGTTACACAAGACATCACAATATATAAATTGGAATCATGGTTTGTTTTTTTGGTGTAAAATTAATTTGTTAACGGCTAAGACCACTGTTGCTATAAGTCAGCTGTCTGGTGTCTTTTCATGTGAAGAGCGAGATGGTCAGATCTCGAAAAACATCGTTCGCACACTTTGCACCGGAACGGTTTTGCTCCCGTGTGTTTGCGATAGTGTCTAGTTAGTTCATCAGATCTAGCGAAGCGCCATTCACACCCTTCCCATGAGCACTTGTATGGCTTCTCTCCTAGACAACAGACAAAACAAAACATCAATATACGAGTCAGATTAATATAGATCAGATAAATTCCAGTCTCAAATGATAATGCGCTACATGGCTCCTGTAAAAGCAACTTTCATTTGCAGGAGATGATGTCTCATCAATCACTGCTTTTCATTCATCTTAAGGCTAATAGCTCTGAATGAGGAACTGATTATTACTCGATTTTCTTAAATTGGCTTTCCTAAATCATTTAAACACAAAGAAAATAAGTTTTAATTGGTTTAAAAAGTTATTTTTTTCCATTTTCACAATATTATAGGGTCTGTTCTTAAGTGAAGTCAATTTCCTTCCCTAAAAATGCACATTCTCTGAAAATGTTAATAACTTTTATCCCCCCAAAAGCACTAAAATATGATTATGGCTAAAGCAAGTACATTTAAGGCACTTGAAAAAATACAATTTTCTCCAATAAAAAAAGCAATTTCTCAACCTCTGAGGGGGAAAAAAATTGCTTGTTCATTGAAGTCATATATTAAGCATGGTAAATAATAACTGAAAAGAGGATCAGACTTGAGGAATTGGCTTATGAAATGTTTACCTGTGTGTGTCCTTAGATGAGCTTTGAGATGAGAACTCTTTGTGTATACTTTTTTACAACCATTGTACGGGCACTTGTGATTTCTACGTCTCATGTCAGGACTGACATCCGTTCGGATTTTCTGTCCGTTCAGAGGCACTGGGGGTCGCTGCTGGATGGGCTGGGCGGTGTAGGGACGCATGCGACCATTCTGTGACGTAGACACATAAGAGTAGGGCTGCCTTTGCATGAGATCAGCAGAGGGCACACGGACTGCTACTGTTGTGGTACGCCCCGGCTGTGCGACAAGTCTTAATGCAAATGGGTCATTTGATTTAGGCATGATGGGTGATAATGGGGGATCGCTGTTGTTGCTATCCCATGAGACACCTGAGGACTGTGAATTAAAACTACTCAAACTAAGTGTATCACATGAGGTCCTATCATTGAGGTCTAAGTACGCTAGCTGTTCTAGTCTATCGTCGGCTTCGGTTTCCGTCTCATTCCCGTCTTCTTCATCCTCATCTTCATCATCCTCGTAAAACTCATCACACGGTTCCGGAATGATGTCATCGGGCTCCTCCTTGATGTCCAGTTTGGCCTCTGGGGTTAACCTCCCTAGAGAGGGCTGTCCATTCTCCCAGCATCGGTCCATCTCTGCTGCCTCTGGGTTCAGCTTCTTGAAGGATGTTAGTTTGGGTTCACTTTTCAGGTATCTTTCCATTTCCAGGCAGTTCTGCAAAGACAACAAAGCACAATTTATAATCATTATAATAGCTTAAACATCAAACATTTATTGTCAATTACAGTAATTAAAATACCTTTTATTTATAAATTACTACTGGTGTGTATTTTTATGTTGCATATGAAACAAGGATATTTTTGGGGAATTGTTGAGACAAAATCTCCCAATTTGTATTACATCATCATAATTAAGGACACAACATTCATGCATACATGCATCCCTTTCATATTGTAAAATATCTTTTTAAAACCTTAATTTTTTGGGGTTATCTGATATCTTTACATTAACACATTGTATAGCCTCTGTTTGAAACCTTATGTCTGCTTAGGAAAGCACTTTGTATCAAGACTGCATTCTGTTGAGCCTTTATCTCAATATTTTGTCTATGAAAATCCATACATCAAATAGACATAAATCAAGTATTGGCATGTACAAATGGTGAAAACAGGCACTACGGTGGCCAGACCCACATTATGACAACTGGAATGTCGGTCCTGTCCTTGAGGCACAGTGGAGCAATAGAATATTAGACTGCTAATCCTAGGTCATTATTAATTTAACCCTGCCAGTGTGCAAGTCCTTAGAGTTTGTTCAGGCCAAAGAGACCCAACCAACAATCAAAAGATGGTGGCCGTAATGCATATCCCTTTCTTATTATTTTTTTTTAAAGAGACAATGAATGGTTAGAATGCTTAAAAAATAATAAAGATAAAAAAGGAGAACTAGTGCAGAATAAATATCTGCCAGGTATTTCTTTAATTTTCTTCAAAACAATAACAAAACCAATCCTACCACACAGTGTGTAATCTTTTAACACTTAAAGTGGGCTAAGCACATTCCAGTAACTTGTTCAAGAAGGCAATAGAGGATCTTGTAGCAAGCTGCCAGCTGGCACTGGATGTACGTATACCTTCAGCTTTGCTCGAGTAGACATTAGATATTTATAGTAAAACAGTTCATGGATGGAATTTTGCTTTCTAGGGCAAAAAATTTATCATAGGTGTGACATAGCGAGACTTTATTGTATATGACACTGAAATATTTCTTACCCCCTTTTCAAAACATGTTTTGTCTCCAAGCGTGTCATCCTAATCTTATAACCTACTTTTTTTCTTTAACTTCTATGCAAGGAATGTCATAAAAAAATATGGTAACATCAAATCTGTATGAACAATCAGGGCCTTTGATTGTCTTGTCAAATTACATGATTTCTGGCACTTTGCAAATGCAGTGTGCAATAATGAGCAAGTGCAGTCTAGTTCAAAAGGCATTGTAACTCCATTATCAATGACAAACAAGAAAGACTTTTACGGAGTTCTAAGGGACTTGTTTCCCTAATTATTAGTGTTGCTTGCAGAAAGATTAATCTGGAGTGCAAAGACAAAGAGCTGAAGCAGCTGTGTACCTAATTATAATTAAAGGAAACAGCACAAGGAAATCCTCTAAAATGCACTGCAATTAGAATATGTGGTAGAACGAATCTAGAATTGAAGTGGATTTGAATGAAAATATATTCACATAGCTACCTGTTTTAAAAACATTTCTTCAGTTAGCTATAGCTGACAAAAATTTTCAATTGACTTTCAGACCGAACCAATTTCCACATAACAAACTACCTTCCGCAGCACTAACTTTCCCCCATCTATCATCATACGGACAATAAAAGGAAGGATTTATTATTGTTTGGTAATAAAGCTTAATACTTTTTAATTTCCTGTGGAAAGAGATAATTTCGCCCTGACATTTATCAAGAAATCAAACACTTGATATGCCTTGGCACTAATTGCTCCTCAAAACAAAGTAAAAATGCTGTGCAATGAAGCTGCCTTGAAAGAGATAACAGATCAATATAGATCCCGAATGTTTGGCCAGGTATTCCAGTAACTTAGGTAAGTTTCTCATAAACAAAATATCTCAAATTTTTTGCTCAGGTGAGTCAGGAATTCATGATGGAAGTTTCACACCAAATCGTTATGATTTACATTTTTTAATTTGCAAAAACCCATGTTTACGAAATCAGCCAAGCACTGCAATATAGCAATATGAAAAGGTTTTATAACAATATGGATACCAATCTCTGGCCATTCAGAATTGTATAGGATGTGTATTCATTTTATCTTTCTGTCACAGACATTAAACTTGCTGAATCTTCCATATATTATACCCTAAACTGTAATGTCATCAAAACATATTGCCCATTACCCTAGACGTCTTCGTGTCTATAAGTCTTTCAAATTTTCAGTCAATGTTTATTTTATTTCTTGGAGACTATTTTATTTACATGCTCTCAGAGCATGACTTTTCTCTCTAAGGCCAGATAAAATTAATCTTTAGATTCTCATCCTAATTTGCTAAAAAATTGGGGCGGGTGGGCGGATTTTATTTTCTATTTTTTATTATTGAAAATATCAAAAAAATTAGAAACAATTTTTCCTTATGTTAATGCCTATATGAATAGATTTGAATGACTTCTCATAGGCCTTTCCCCCAAATACTTTTTAGTTTCGCCAACAAATCCTTCTGTTAAAAATTTTTGTAAAATATCACAGATTTCTACCTTTCTCAAAAATTCGATTGTTCTTGGGATTCTATGTTCGACATTGTAGTAGGTAATATTTGCAAACTCTATAAAATATTTTACTGAAAAGCCTAGACTTGAACAGTTTTGATGCAACTGTATTTAATATTTTCTTAACACTATTATTCTCTAAATTCTGCCAACGATGTTTTATTTAAATATTTCTTTTATAGAAACTCACATAAAGTAGAGATCGTTAAAACTTGACCAGGTGCATTTCCCTCATCAATTTTTACCTAGTAGTTTAAAGTCTCTTTAAAACTTGCTTATCAAGATGTGTTTATGCTATTTTTTCTTCTCTGCCTCTTCTATACTGACGCATTATCTTTCCCTTTCATATCTAAACTGCTTTTATTGCCGATTTTCTCCATTCTTCACATGGCTCTTTTGCTATAAATAGCGACACGCGACTTTTGATACAAACAGGAGATAACTCTAAAACTTTGATCCAAAATCCTACTGAATAAAGACATTAAAATATACTTTTAACACCCAAAAATCAAAATAAAAAACACTGGGGCGGGACACTTTGAGAGGGGCGGGCGGGGATGAGAATCTAAAGATTAATTTTATCTGGCCTAATGTCCTTCAATTCGATCTAGTTTCAGTAAAACTGTTGATCTCCTTTTCTGTTGATATTAACCAATTTATTGTTATATGCTTTTGAAAACATTCCGATCAGCTCCGCTGGATCTGAAATAATCCTCATTATCACATTTCTTTACTTTCAAAGAATGGTGACAGTTTTAATCAACGATGTCGCAACACAGTTTATCCTTCAATATCATCTCTCATTCCATTATGTTATTAAGGCATAATAACAATTGTCTCTAGCCCCTAGCGTATGTCAAACGACAAAAGAGCAGCCTCTTCGTAAGACCTTGTTAATCTACATCTTGTACTGTAATGAGCTGGTCACTGAACATGAACTTGACCTAGATTCACCTGTGAAAGCCACCCATACAGGTGTTTGAAAATAACTTCACTTTACCTTATCAGAAAAGAATAAAAGTGATAAAATTATGGCAGGTGATTCCTTCAGGTGATAAACATGCAACTTTGTCAAAATATTTTTGATAATTATTAAAATTAACAAAGAAAACATTGTTTAAACTGACATGTGTACCGATTCCAAATTCCGATTTCAATGTAAAAAGCCCTTTCGCCTCGTCAATCACAGTGTGAGAAATTTAAAGCCCTTATGAATGAAGGAATTTTCATATTAAATACCTTTTGATAATCTTAAGTGAAGTAAGTCGTGCTACAAGTTGATTTGAAAAATATGCGATAAAAAGCAATTTACCAATTCATGTATGTCTATAAAAAATATATTTGACACTTCTCAGGTAGAACATTTATGCAAACTTGCTTATCTGCATTTCATCTTTAAAGCCAATTTAAATATACACTGTAGGAATGAAACTTATTTTTTAAAATTCTCAAACTTTTATATGCATGAATTTTCAAGTATAAATTCATAGAAAAAATAATATGATCTGTAAAACTGCTGTTTGTCAATAACAATTTGATAAACTTATCTCAAGAGTCTAGCACAGTTCAATGCTGTGAATTACTAGAGGAAATATTTCAGAATTTAGCTTTATCACCATTATGTAAATAAAAATTTTCATCTTGTGCATTTTAATCTGCCTCCCATGCAGTGGCCCCTCACCCACACAGAGCTGTTATGCCAAGTTCCAAACTTAGTCATTATGACACATAGATCCACTCTCTTTTTTAACTACTGTGCGATACTTAAATGAAATTAAGTTCCTAGTCAGTGCATGGTGCTCACTGAGTCATGCAAAGCAAAATCTTGCCAATGCCCTCTCTTCATATAATTAATTGCATCAATCATTTTCTACAAATTGACCCAACTGTTTAACTTTTAATATATTAACCATACAGTATTGACTTGTTTAAACCTTAGATTGACCCAGTTTATTTAATATGCCTAAAGTCATATGATTCTGCAGTCAGGAGGTATACACCAAAACCTAAACCTCAACACACATCAGATTTCTTGCAAATTGGCCAATTTTTTCATTTAATCTCAAGGTCAGTCCATCACATTCCTAGATGCTATGATCATACAGGCGGGAAATAACATTCTGACCTGAAGTTACTGTTAGATATTTTAAGATCGGTATCAGTAAAAAGCCAAGACAGGAAGGGGGAAAATAAACCATTGTGTATGTTATTTGAAATATAAACAGCTATCCCTAGATGATTAAATCCCCTTTTAATTTCCACTATTTCCATTACTTTATCTACTTTAAAGTCTTTGGCTATCCGAAGGAATGTGTCCCATTGTTTAGCCTTTCATTGATGGTTTGATACCTCTTGCCGTCCACAAATGAATGGGTCAGAATGAATGCTCTATTAGCCATTTCATCTTTAATGGATTCCCTGC